ACACACACACATGTCTGGTCAGCTATCCTTGTGGGGACTCTCCATAGGCGTAATGGTTTTTATACTGTACAGACCATATATTCTATTGCCCTACACCAACCCTACCCCTCACAGGAAACTTTCTGCATTTTTAGATTTTCAAAAAACTTCATTCTGTATGATTTATAAGCTTTTGTACCCGTGGGGACCACAAGTCTGTGTGTAGTCAGGTTTAAGTCCCCACCAGGATATATAAACCAGTGTACACACACACACACACATAAATACACTTCAGTTATATAAATAATATTGAAAAATAAATAATGAAAATACAAATCGAGTTGTTTAGTCATCAAGATTATCAGTCATCTGATGACAACATCATTTGCTTGTGCAGTGAGTTAAGCAATGACAACAGTCAAAAAGGTATTTTGTGCTCTCTGAAATGTGCAAATCTAGTATCCCCAATAGGACGTATGCAACAAATGAAGCATTTTTACAGAAAAATAAATAGATACCAAAAAAAAACATTAAAATATTCGATGACAGCTCAGACTTTTTATAAGTCAAACGAGTCTCCAGTCATCTCTTTTGAGAGGTTTTTCTTATAATTAAAAGTGATGCATCATAAATAAAGGTGCACACTAGTTAAGTGTACTATATATGACAATTTGACTTATTTTTATGCATCGTTCCATATCTATTTATCGTTACACCCCTAATGCTAATGCCAGTCTCTGTTGGAATCAACTGTGAGTATTCACTTTTTGTGCATGAGTTACTGATGAGGGTCCATGTCTGTTAAGATGCTGTCTATGTAGGCTTCTATATGATGGTCAGAAAGTTTGATGAAGCATTGATGTTCTTTGCAGTTTGAGAATGAGTTAATCACAAAACTAGACCAGGAAGTTGAAGGAGGCCGCGGTGATGAACAATACAAGATTTTGCTGGAGAAAACGTGAGATTTTCCTCTCCTCTTACCATGTGATGCCACTCATATATTATAAATAATATATGTACTTTGTACTTAGAAAAGTAAGTTTTCAAGTTATATTAAGATCACTGTCGGTTGTCTGTAAACTAGATCTGCTGTAAAAGGGGGTGAGCTGTTTATGCCTATTGCTTGAATGTGGACATGTTTGCATTTGTGTCACTGTCTATATGCTATTTAATGTAAAATAGTGCAAATGAATGCCAGTGCATCTTCCCTGCTGCTGTAGCACTTTAAAAAATGTACAAAACTAGTACATTTGTGTTCCTCTTAAAAAGGTTTAGCATTTTTGCCCCATGTGACATCCGTACTTTGTATTTTTATACTCTCAACACACACTTATTATTTTCCTAATTTTTAAAATACTATATAGTATATTTCTTCTTTGCGCATTTGAATTATCTTTGACTTAAATTTATATTTTAGTATTTTGAAGTTTCGTGTTTTGGTAAAAAATAAAAAGGTTTGCTTATTTGCAGATTAATGCATATTAAAGGGTTAGTTCACCCAAAAATGAAAATTAGCCCATAAATTACTCACCCCCAAGTCATCCTAGGTGTATATGACTTTCTTCTTTCAGATGAATCCAGTCGGAGTTATATAAAAAATTGTCTTTGATCTTTCAAGCTGTTTAATGCCACTCAGCGGGTGTTGCATGCATCAGTCCAAAAGCAGTTAAATAAAATGCGCCCATCCATAAAAAAAGTGTCTCACACGGCTCCGGGGGGTGAACAAAGGCCTCCTGTAGCGAATCAATGCATTTTTGTAAGAAAAATATCCATATTCAAAACGTAATAATCACTTTATAATAGTCTAGCTTGTGCTCACTGTTGTACACTTGAAGCAGTTCCGGGGGAATGACCTATTGAAAACCAACATTCAACGTTAACAGGAGCAAAGGAAGCAAAGTTTCCTTACTTTAGCAAAGGAAAACCAGTCTCCTCTTGGCTTATATCGAAATCCTTCGACATTCTTCTTTACAAATCCTCGTTTTGTACTTCTAATTAGTGACCTTTGTTTTGTTTTGATCTCTCCGCTGCGCTTCCGCGTTCGTCACTTCTGAGCGGCGCATGCGCAAAGCTGACCTCATACGTCATTCCCCCGGAACTGCTTCCGTGTACAACAGTGAGCGCAAGCTACATTAAAGTGATTATTACGTTTTGAATATGGATATTTTTCTTACAAAAACGCATCGATTCGCTACAGAAGGCCTTTGTTCACCCCCTGGAGCAATGTGAGACACTTTTATTTTATGGATGGGCGCATTTTATTTAACTGCTTTTGGACTGATGCATGCAACACCCGCTCAGTGCCATGAAACAGCTTGAAAGATCAAAGACCATTTTTAATATAACTCCGACTGGATTCGTCTGAAAGAAGAAAGTCATATACACCTAGGATGACTTGAGGGTGAGTAATTTATGGGTTAATTTCATTTTTGGGTGAACTAACCCTTTAAATATTTGCACTAAACTTGTGCTGACTATTCAGACTAGTGCGGACTAGAATAAAAAAATTTAAAACTAATTTTTTTTAATGCATTAAAAATCAAATGTTTTTATACTTTTTCTGAAGTAAACATGAAAATGTAATTATTAATACTTTTTTGCTGGGGTAATATTTTATTAGGGTATCTGTAATTAGTTTGTGTACTTTGCTGTGTGTTGTGTCCAGGCTGTTGGAGCGCTGTCGACGGCACCGGTATCTGTCTCAGTCTGGTGAGGCATTGGCTCTTCTTTTAAGTAGTCTGCTGGAGAACCTGTTGGCTTACCGCACCATCACCCATGATGAGAGCCCTGAGCTCCGCATGAGCTGCACCGTCAACGTCCTGGTGAGAAGCAGACCATGTGAACTCAAACACAGCTGCAGTATTTATAAATATTCCTTATTATCTGCTCAACCTGCTGAAAAGACCAGCAAGGATCCAGTCAGGAATAAAAGTTGTTTAGAGACTTTTATGAAATCACATCTCTGTATCTTCTCTCTCATGTCCACAGAACTTTTACAAAGAAAAGAAGAGGGAGGACATTTATATCCGGTAAGTGTTTTAGATGATTAAAAGTTATAGTCTTGTTGATAGCACAAATATGAATCTGATGCATGCACCTATACATCTCGTGGTCTTTCATTAGGTATTTGTACAAGTTACGAGATCTACATCTGGACTGTGAGAACTACACAGAGGCTGCCTACACCCTGCTGCTCCATGCTGAACTGTTGGAGGTTTGGACTCTTATTATTAAGATTTGGGTTAAGGTTAGATAGAGACATCTAGGGATAGATAGTGGGTAGGTTAAAGTTGGAATACTCTACATGACTTTTGCTCAGGTTTTTGCCCCAAATTGTAGTCTGGGGAAGTTGACGCTAGTTGTTGAAAGTCAGAGCCAGTCTGCAGATTTAAGTTGCCAGATTGCATAGAAAAACGTGTAGTGTATGAGAGTCCCAGAATCTGTTTTTTTAGCTTCAGACTATGAATCTATCCAGTCGGAGGATATCAAACATTTTTGATATTTTGAACTGATTTTAGAACACACATTGTTTTTATTTGTCATGCGTCTCCTAGCAACAAGGCGCACGTTTCTGCATGAGTTTGTTGGGATCGGAATGACTTCAAAGTCTGGTAGTGTGTGATCCTCGGTCATTTAGTGTATGATGGCCAGTTTTTCCTCTGTGACTGTTTACAAAGTTGGCAAGTGTATGATGCTTATCGTTTTATCTGTTCACATTTTAAAAGTTGTGTAGTGTACTCCAGCCTTCTAGGAACATCTAGGAAGCAGGGTGACTAATGGCCATTATAATGCAGATATAGTTTATAATACACTGACAGTCAAAATTTAAGACACATTTATTCTTTACAGCTGTTTTTCCAAGTCATCAAAATAGAAATAACTCAAATGGGAGAATCAGACGTATGTAGTGACCAAACAATAGGCCATTTAAAACGTATTTAAATGAAATAAAATTAAAACAATCTTATATTTGAGCTTTTTGAAAGTATCCATTATTTGAGCAGCCTTTCATTCATTATCTGTTCTAATCATCAATACATATTTTGTTCATCTAATCATCAAAAAGGCTGCATTTATTTGGTTAAATGAAATTGTTAAATATTATCAGAATTTTAAACTGTTTTCTATTTTAATTTAAGGTAATAAGAAAGTCATTTTAAGTAATTTATTCCTGTGATGTCAAAGCTGAATTTTCAGCATTATTACTCCAGTCTTCAGTGCCACATGATCCTTCAAAAATCATTCTAATATGCTATTTATTGTTATTTTAGTATCTTTGAGATCCTATTATAGTTTTTATTATGTTATGTCATTTCTGAACAATTTTTATACATTTTTGGTTTTTGGAAAAATAAGAAGCCTTGGTAACTAGATAAAAATAAAATACATTTTATTTCTTTCAAGTAACACAAATTATTTATTTATTTTACTGGTTTTAGTTTTAACTAACTATAATAACCCTGATGCTGATTTGGTGCTCAAGAACCTTTTTTTTTAGGATTCTTTTATGAATAGAAAGTTTTGAAAGAACAGCATTTATTTTAAATTGAAATCTTTTGTAACATTATAAAGGTGATGGTACACAGGGCTACTGGTTTTAGTTTTAACTAACTATAATAACCCTGATGCTGATTTGGTGCTCAAGAACCTTTTTTTTTAGGATTCTTTTATGAATAGAAAGTTTTGAAAGAACAGCATTTATTTTAAATTGAAATCTTTTGTAACATTATAAAGGTGATGGTACACAGGGCAAATTTTTAAGCAATGTTGCTGGATAATGTTGCCGTCAGCGGGCAGCAAGGTGAGACACGGGACCCACGACCAGTCTAAAGTATCCAGATTGAAATTTGTTGCCCATTATTTGAAAAACGAATGAAAGTCAGTTGTTATCCTGTATAAAAGCCAAACATTAAGCTTGTCAGTCCTCAAAATCGTATTATTTTAAGTTAACTTAGTCTGCTTGCATTTGAATATCTGCGCTGAAAAACCTGTTGCCCTTGCAGCGTGTTCCTTGAAGTTGCAACATAGTTTGGTGATTATGAGATCAGTGAGATTAGCATGACTGAATCTTGTATTCTCTTTCTAGTGGTCCGACAAGCCGTGTGCGCCCCACCTGATCCCATGGGACGGAACTCAGGGGTGGACGCAACAAGAGCTAAAGGAAAGACTTTTTCAGGAGATAATGTGCAATCTGGACAAGGGCAAAGTATGTATTTAGCTTGTACATCTAATATCGGTTTAATTTAAAGACACTTACATGCCATTTACACACAGATTTTAGGGTAGTACAACTGTAAAGAACAGAAATGTTGCTATTTAACTACACTACCATTCACAATTTTGGGGTTTGTAAGATTATTTAATGTTTTTGAAAGAAGTCTGTTAGTCTCACCAAGGCTGCATTTATTTGGTTAAATGAAATTGTTAAATATTATCAGAATTTTAAACTGTTTTCTATTTTAATTTAAGGTAATAAGAAAGTCATTTTAAGTAATTTATTCCTGTGATGTCAAAGCTGAATTTTCAGCATTATTACTCCAGTCTTCAGTGCCACATGATCCTTCAAAAATCATTCTAATATGCTATTTATTGTTATTTTAGTATCTTTGAGATCCTATTATAGTTTTTATTATGTTATGTCATTTCTGAACAATTTTTATACATTTTTGGTTTTTGGAAAAATAAGAAGCCTTGGTAACTAGATAAAAATAAAATACATTTTATTTATTTCAAGTAACACAAATTATTTATTTATTTTACTGGTTTTAGTTTTAACTAACTATAATAACCCTGATGCTGATTTGGTGCTCAAGAACCTTTTTTTTTAGGATTCTTTTATGAATAGAAAGTTTTGAAAGAACAGCATTTATTTTAAATTGAAATCTTTTGTAACATTATAAAGGTGATGGTACACAGGGCAAATTTTTAAGCAATGTTGCTGGATAATGTTGCCGTCAGCGGGCAACAAGGTGAGACACGGGACCCACGACCAGTCTAAAGTATCCAGATTGAAATTTGTTGCCCATTCTCAATGGGAAAGTTCCCAATCAACATTGCTCAAAAAAGTTGCCCCATGTATCATCACCCTAAGTGTCTTTACTGTCACTTTTGATCAATTGAATGCATCCTTGCTGTATGAAGGTATAAATTCTTCAAAAATAAATTGAGGTTTATTTAAAACCTTAAATTTAGATTTTAAACACTGTAAAGGAGACTCACAACAGAATATTTAATAACACATTTTTTTTTTGCTGTCAACACGTTTTCTCATCCATTAGCCAGACTCTGAGCTTGTTTGTTTGTTCTTTTGTCCACAGATGTGGGAGAAGGCCATCGAGATGGCCAAACAGCTTGTTAAACTTCACGAAAACCAAATGTTTGATTTCATAGAGCTCAGTCAACTGCTGGTAAGACAGACGTGTCAGAATTCCCTATTGTTTCTTTGTTAATGTGATCTGAAGGTAACGCCACTGACAAACCTCCCAGAGCTTCTGCCAGAGCAGGAGATGCTCTGTGATGTACAAACATTTTAGCGAGACAAGCCTTGAGCTCGTCTCGATTCACGCTCTTCATATTTATTCACGTTTTGGGCTGGTAACTCATAACCCTGTCTGCTGGATAGCAGCCGTCACTCTGCACAGGAAATAAACATAGCAATTTGCAAGCAAGTGGAGGAAGGAAACTCTGGTGCGATTAGAGCTACTGTAGCAGTTACACACTCTCCTCTCAGTTCTGCCCTTGGCTCAGTGAAGTTCTCACTTGGCAGCTGACTTCAGTTAGATCAGAGAAGTTTGCTGTTGGTGCTGATGAATTGGGTGGACAGCTGCTTTCAACTTTTTTATGTCCTGTGGTTCATAAAATGTACAGTAAAAGCTACCGTAACTTAAAAGGATAGTTCACCCAAAATGGAAATTCTGTCATTTACTAGCCCTCGTGTTGCTTCAAAAATCATGTTGATTCTTCTGCATAAAACATAAGATATTTTGAAGATTGTTGGTAACCAAACAGTTTCTTTTCCCATTGACGTCCACCGTATTTTTCCACCATACATTCTACAAAATGTCTTTTTTTATGTTCCACTGAGAAAATGGTTGGACTGTCCCTTTAAATATGTTTAAAAACACGTATTCAGTTACTCATCCTTATGTCATTCCTAATTAGTTTGATTTGATTCGATTTTTTATTGACGGAGCAAAAATGAGATATTTAATAGAATGTTCAGGCAGCACACTTTTTGCATACATTTAAAGTCAATTGGGACGCTGTCAAACTTCATAAATGACAAAAAACAGCATTAAACCATACATGTAGTAAGAGTTGTTTTAGTATTATTTATAGTATTTATTAATATTTTAATATTTATTTCATTTTATTTGATATCTGTATTTTTGTTTTATTTGATATTTGACCTTATATTTTTTATATTTTCAGTTTTCATTTTAATTTTAGTTTGTGTTAGTAATTTTGTTATGTGCTTTTGTCATTTTTATTCATTTTTGTTTCATATAGCTTAAATTAATTTGTATCTCACTTGTAGTCATTTTAGTAAACTTATTAATTTCAGGTAGTTGCCAAGGCAGCATTTCTAATCTTTAAAAATGTCAAGGGTACATTTTTCATTGTGCATATAATAATAATAATAATAATAATATATATATGTATAACATTTCAGCTTTATTTAAATTACCAAACTATGTTTAATAGTTTTAGTTATCAAAAGCAACACTGTAGTACATACAACTTGTATTTAATAAGTAAACCCTGAAAAGTCTCCAGCATAACTCCTATTTATGTTCACATATATTGAAACAGATTTGAGAGCTGCAGTGAAGGAATCACAGTTGCAATGCCATATATAACAACAGAAGAGCCACATGGTCTGAGAGGTCAAAGTCAGAGAGCCACATTTGCACAGAAGGGTTCTAGAAAATTGTGCGTCCTAGGAATGGGTGAAATGATTCACAGAATCTCAAGAACATTCAAAATTATTGCCAATAATTGCACTTCTTCAGGGTTGCCACAATTAAAAGTGTCACATGCTATCCAAAGCATTATTTTCAGAGTTGTATGAACAATTTTAACAATTTCAACATTTTTAATGACTACTAAGACCTTGATTATTATTGACCTCTTAAAATAAGCTACTAAAAGATCATAATTGTTGCTCTTTCCAAGTGAAGGACCAGGGGTTAAGTGCTTTGATCAAAGGCACTATGGGGGCAGATAAAAGTAATTGAAGTTGACCGAAGCCTTTGTGTTAGCGGGATTACGTGCAATAGGGGTCAAACAAGTAATGCATTTGTCAATTAATGAACAGTTTTTGGAACCATCAGACATGGTTGAATGTTGGCGATATTAGTGGGTATTTAGATTTACCTCACTTTAAGCTGTTGCATGACTTCATAGGAATTGCATTGAAGTTCACAAGCACCTCATTCACCTTCATTGCATGAATAAGAGCACCGTGAATACACACAAATCTCTTATTTTGTGTCATACGGGTTTGAAATGACATGAGGGTGAGCAAATGATGACAGTGTTTTCATTTTTTGACTGAACTCTTCCTTTTACGCTTGACTTTTAAATGCAAATTCAAATGAACAAATACCAGTTGTTTTTGTACACAGAAACAGCAGGCGCAGTATTATGAGAACATCATGCACGCAATGAGACCCCAGCCTGAATATTTCGCAGTGGGATACTACGGACAGGGTTTCCCATCCTTCCTCAGGGTGAGTGAATTTTACATTTTTTTAATGGCTTTAATGAAACCGGAATGAGGAATACGATTTTCCAATGACAACTTGGAGAGCTTTTCCTCCATTTGTTGCACAGATGTCTAATTTTCTGTTGTTTATGCGGAGTGAAAAATCTGTAAACTATGGATTAAATGGTGACACAAACATGCTGGCAGGGTCGGCTCGATGTTTGGCATTTCAGCGTCAAGCATTGCCAATGGAAAACAGATATTTTGATTACAGCTCTCCCCAAAGAGCTCTCTGAGTAATTGGGTTTTAACAAGAAAATACTACTTTTGTTTTCACAGTCAGGGGTTTGGAAACCCTGGCGCTACTTTTACAGATACAAGAGCCCCTTAGAAGTCTAATGAAATGAAAGGCTTATTATTGGTTGTGCATGCCAGATATCAAGCCATGGATATCACTCGAGTAGAGGAAGAAGCTTATAGTTAAAGGTTGCAGCAGATCATGTGGTCATTCATACTGTCTTCATCAATTTTTACTCTGCCTGTTCCAAGCAGAACAAAATGTTCATTTACCGTGGTAAAGAGTATGAGTGGCTGGAGGACTTTAGCTTGAAGCTGATGTCTCAGTTTCCCAATGCAGTGAAGATGACCATCACATCGCCCCCTGGTGACAACATCTGTAACTCACCCGGTCAGCGTATCCTTTACTCTTTAGCAAAATACTGATATTGGAGAAAAAGTAGAATATATTTTATTTTTATTTGAAATTATTTTTATTTATTTATTTGTTGTGTACACATTTACGATTAATTACATTAACATTCAAAAGTTTGGGGTATTTTTTAAAAATGTTTTTATTCAGAAAGGATGCATTAAATTGATCAAAAGTGACAGTAAAGACATTTATAATAATGTTGTTCTTTTGAACGTTCTATTCATTAAAGAATCCTGAAAAAATGCATTGTTTCACATATTTTCCCACAAAAATATGAAGCAGCAAACCTGTTTTCAACATTAATAATAAGAAGAAATGTTTGTTAAGCAACAAATCAGCATATTAGAATGATTTCTGAAGGATCATGTGACACTGGAGTAATGATGCTGAAAATTCAGCTTTGCATCACATGAATAAATTACATTTGAAAATATATTCAAATAGAAAACAACTATATTTCAAATTGTAGTAATATTTTTTTTTTTACTGTATATTGGTCAAATAAATGCAGCCTTGGTGAGCATAACAGACCTTTTTAGAAAACATCAAAAATCTTACCGACCCAATCATTTTAAATGGTACTGTATATTTACATATATTTAGATTTATTATGGATAGAATGCATAGATTAGTATAACTTTTATTTAAAAATGTTTAAGCACTTGTGACACCTTCGAAATGTCTGACCGTGATTGCATTGGATTAAAGAATATCAAAGCAAATGGCCTTAATTTTAAAAGATAACACTTTTAAGCAAATCATTTCACAGTAATGTTTAGGTGCTGCTTGCATTGATATTGTGTTATATAATGCAGTGGCATTCAGACATTTTTAGTTGTTATAGCCACTGTACATTTAAAATCACTTTTTCTGCAATCGGTTTTCAGATCCAAAGGTCCAAAATGATGCAGTGAAGTTTTTGCATCAAGTACTCATTAAAATGCATGCTTTAGTTGACCTACTGACCCCAAACTTGTGAATGGTAGTGTTTGTGCTTCAAATTAAACAAGTATTGCATCCGAATGCTTTTTGGGGCCAAATTGCAGAAATGTGAACAGTTTTCTACCCTTAATCAATTCTTCGCAGATATTCAGTGTTTTATGGTGAAGCCTGTCCTAAACTTACCTTCACAGTTCAAGGACAAGGAACTTCCTGAACAAATCCTCAAGTATGAATCCACACACTTGTCACGATTCACATCTCTTATAAATAATGCTCTTGTAGACCTTCTGTTGTTTTCTCAGTTATTACAGGACAAACGAGGTGGAAAAGTTCCAATATTCAAGACCGTTCAGGAAAGGAGAAAAAGATCCTGAGAATGAGTTCGCTGTGAGTTATGCTTTATATTGTTGGTGTTATCGCATACAGGCATGCAAACATTGAACAAATATTGAAGTGCAACGGTTGACTGATAAGGCAGATGAGGATAATTAGGGAGAATGAAAGCTGATTTCAGATTAAACTTGGCTGATATTTTTCTTATAGCATTGTTGACATTCTATACATATTTTAGCATGTATCAGTCGAAACTGTTAAGCAAGCTTCAGGTTAAAGTGTCAGTCTCAAACCCCGCTAGTGAATGGATGGTGGTTTTCATCAAAATTGTTTGTGACCTGCCATGACAAACCTGAAAAATCTGTCTGAAAAAAATTGCTAAAAGTGGAAGAGCCATTAAAATGAATGAAATTTTAAGTAGTTAAGTAGTTCATACAACTATTGCATTGACTGTTGCTTTCATGATGCTTTTTTTCTTTTTTTGGCCGTCTTTGGATCTTGGCAGTAAGAATTACTCTCTACTTTTTATTTTTATTCAAGCTTTGTTATATCTTCTACTTAACATGTCTTTTTGTGTTTTATGAAAGAAAAAAAACCCCAAGTATTTCTAGTTTCTGCTCAGTTTTAAGATTTTTAATGGGTTAAAAATGTTTTAAATGCGGTCTCTATGAAATTATGTTTAAATATCCATATCCGATGTCTTTTAAAAATGTTCAGATTGTCAAGCCCTGATGATAATGATTTCGATAACCCTTTTAAATGAAAGTGGATGCATGCGAACACTGAAATATCGCTTTTATTGCCAATAAAATTGAATGTTGTTGTGACCATTTCACTAGAGCCTGTAATTCAGCCCTATATAATTATTCATAAATGGAGATGATTATCCTTCTGCCCTTGGAACCCTCTGTGTAAATGTGGCTCTCTGTCTTTGACCTCACAGACCATGTGGATCGAAAGGACCACCTATATCACGGCATACTGCTTCCCGGGAATCCTCAAGTGGTTTGAAGTGAAATCCATGTCGGTGGTGAGTTAATCGTCCTTCTCCAAACAATCGAAAACCGTCTTTTATTGTTAAATGTCAAATGTGTCTATGAACACAAATACTGATTTTAAAGACATCATGACGTCACATGAATCTTATTCACTTTCGTCACAAATGTACCTTATTGTGCGCATGTTACTCTTTGTAATCTTTTATCAAATTGTAATAAATTTTTCTGCCTCTACAGTAATATTTCTGCTGATGTAATCATATTTAAGTCTGTAGATATGCTGTTTTATGTCTTTCTCATAAATGTACACTTTCAAAAGTTTGAGGTCTTTTTTAAAATTTATTTAATCAAAAATACAGAAAAAAGCAGTAATATTGTGGAATATTATTACAATTTAAAAGAACTGTTTGCTATATGAATATATTATAAAATGTAATTGATTCCTGATGCAAAGCTGAATTTTCAGCATCATTACTCCAGTCTTCAGCGTCACATGATCCTTCAGAAATCGTTCTAATATGCTGATTTGCTGCTCTATAAACACACAATAGAAGTCTTTTGTAACATTAAAATGTCTTTACTGTTACTTTTGATCAGTTTAATGCATCTTTGCTGAATAAAAGTATTAATTTCTTTAAAAAAAAATATAGGTAGTGTATGATCATAATTAGATTTTATAATCATAATCCATCGAATGTTGTTACTTGTTTGTAGGAAGAGATCAGCCCTTTGGACAATGCCATAGAAACAATGGAGCTGGCCAATGAGAAGCTGAGTAATCTGGTGCAGCAGCAGGCGTGTGACCGCTCTCTTCCTGTGCACCCCCTCTCCATGATGCTCAATGGAATCGTGGACCCAGCTGTCATGGGTGGCTTTTCCAACTACGAGAAGGTTAGACTTTCTCCTCTTCTGCTGCTTCTATTAATTTAACCAGAAGAAGTCAAGCCCAAATCAAGCTATCCACCTGATAATACTGACTGAATCAGTCAGATGTGCTCCACAATTCCTCTGTATCTTTTCTCCTGGTCAAATATGAAAAATTGATGCATGCCTCGAGGCTTTAGGTCTGCTGGAGGACTGGCTGATATTAATTGAGATTTTTGTTTCACCCCTCAGGCGTTTTTCACAGAGGCCTACATGAAGAAGAACCCCGACCACCTGGAACGCATTGAAGTCTTAAAACACCTGATCGCATTGCAGGTGACGCTTCTGTAGATCTGTATCATGTTGAAACATTTAAGCAATGCTTAATATATCCACATAGGTGTATGAGATATGACTAAAATTTTACACCATGGTAAATGTATCACAATAGATTAGTGAAAAAAATGGCTTATGCACTATTGTTCAAAAGTTTGTGGTCAGTAAGATTTTTAATGTTTTTGAAAGAAGTCTCTTATGCTCACCATATAATATCAAAGATACTGTAAAAACAGTAATACTGTGATATATGATTACATTTTAAAATAACAGTTTTCTATTTTAAAATGTAATTTATTTAAGCTGAATTTTCAGCATCATTACTCCAGTCTTCAATGTCACATGATCCTTCAGAAATAATTTTAATACGCCGATTTGCCACTGAATAAATACTGAAAAAAATTTAATAAACAAATCTTACTGACCAAAACTTTTGAACAGTAGTGTATATTAAACAACCAATAAATTATATACTTTAATAATAGGCAATTTGTCTAACTTGATTATGTTCTCTTTGTATCTGAGATGCAAAGCAAAATATTATTCATCACAAACAGTATTTTTTGAATTTTATTTAAATCAAAATGTCTATTAGCTTTGAAACCATACATACTCACCAGCCACTTTATCGGGTAAACCTTGCTAGTACTGGGTTGGACCCCTTTTTGCCTTCAGAACTGCCTTAATTCTTTGTTGCATAGATTCAACAAGGTGCTGAAAACATTTCTCTGAGATTTTGGTTCATATTGATATAATAGCATCACACAGTTGCTGTTGATTTGTCGGCTGCACATCCATGATGTGAATCTCCTGTGCCGCCACATCCCAGAGGTGCTGGGATCTGGTGACTGTGGAGGCCATTTCAGTATATTGAACTCATTGTCATGTTCAAGAAAGCAGTTTGAGATGATTTGAACTTTGTTTCATGGCACGTTATCCTGCTGGAAGCAGCCCTCACAAGATGGGTCCACTGTGGTCATAATACTCAGAAACAATACTCAGGCTGTGGCATTTAAACAATGCTCAATTAATGCCAATAGGCTCAAAATGTGCCAAGAAAACATTCCCCACACCATTACACCAACAGCAGTCTGAACCATTGATACAAGGCAGGATGGATCCATGCTTTCATGTTGTTTAGCCAAATTCTGATCCTACTATCACAGCAGAAATCAAGACTCATGAGACCAGGCAACCTTTTTCAAGTCTTCTGTTGTCCAATTTTTAATTGTATCCTGTTCTTATCTTACAGGAGTGGCACTGATCTTTGCTGCTGTAGCCCATCTGCTTCATGGTTCGACATGTTGTGCATTCATAGCTCTTCTGATGCTCTTCTGCATACCTCGGCTGTAACAATTGGTTATTTGAGTTAGTGTTGCCTTTTTATCAGTCTGGCCATTCTCCTCTGACCTCTGGCATCAACAAGGCATTT